CGGGAGCTGAGGGGGCCGCGCTGGGGGGGACTGGGCTGGGCTGAGGGGTCGTGCTGGGGTGGAGGAGAGCCCTGTGGAGACGGTTGCTGAGGGTCTGGTGTCGAAACTGGGGAGCACTGGTGGGGGGTGATGGAGGGGTGGGGTTCCCTGAGGAGGAAGCCGTGCACTGGGGAGGTGAGCTTTGCAAGTGGGTGTACTGGGGAGGGTGGGAGCGGAGGGGTGCCCTCAGTGAAAGGATTGCTGGGGAGCACTGGGAAGAGAGGGAGGTCTAAGGGGAAAGCTGCGGGCTGTGCTGGGGAAGATGCTGGAAGTGGTGGTGAGGGGATAGTGCCGGAGGGGCAGGTGGGCTGTAGTACTGGGGAGCACGCTGAGGTGGTGGTGGGGAAAATGGTGCCCGAGGCTTTGTCAGTGTGTATCGTTAAAGTGAGGTTCCTTGGTGCATCTGGAAGGCACGACTGGAAAGAACTGGGAAGTGAGGTTTGTGAGGAGGGGCTGGCATGCTTAGAATGGGCTGGTGGGTTCAAGGAGAAAAAAGGTGCAGATAGCTCTTCTAGGGAATGAGCCAGGCTCTGAGAAGCTCGAGTTAGAGCTGTTGTGTTCGTGCTTGTCACAGCTGACCAGCGGATGAGAAGACATCGCTTTCCCACTGTGCCACGACGACCCAGCCCTCCCTGGTTTTGCAGAAGCGGATGACTGACCATCCTGTAGGCATGGCTCACTTAAGAGAATTTGCCAGCCAGGTAAGAGGCGATTAAAAATTTATTTTAAACTCTTGTTGTATCAAGAACAAATGTAACACCCCCAGAAAATCACTTTTTGCTCTCTCTCTCTCTTGCACGTGTCTCAGCTTACTCCTATTAGCTGATTGATTTGTGTCTTACTCGGTGGTGGTAGACTGGACAGTGTTAGCTTGCCAGCCATATAGAAGGGGAATTCTTTGCCCAGGGTGGTGCCTTTCTCTGAGATTAACTTTGCTGTTCCTAGGGAGGCAGGAATCACTGGCTCTCTGAGTATTTTTGGGAGGGGAAGTCTAGAAATGGGAACAGAAAAGCTGACATGCAGGCTATGCCAGACATACCTTACATGTTTACAGCAGTAGCCTGAGAAAAACAGTGCTTGTAACCTTAATGCATGAGAGGCAGCAATATCTGATACTGAACATTTAACTGTTCTGAGAGAGGTATCAGCCTCGGTGGATGTGGTTAAATCCTGCTGTGTGATGACGTTTTCGTAAGAGCAAAGTGGAAAGGTGATGTCATGATGTGGGACTAGAAGCGAAACCACATTAATAGTATTGGCTTGAATCTTCTTTCTTCTGAGTTTGGTTGTGGGGCGTGTTGGATCGTTGGCAGATGTCAATACTGAACGTAGGTCTTGTTTGTGAGAATTTTTGGCGTTTTTCCCTTCTGCTTCTAGGTGTAGAATTGTAATGCTAAAAGCTGTAGTGGTTTGAGATGATGCTTTCTCCAAGCCGTTTCTGATTTAAAATTGGTTTGCAGCGCATCTTAGTTTGCACGCTGTCTTTCACATAAACCATTTCCCCAAAGTGCATGTGGAATTAAATGCAAATGTAGCGCCTGAGTGAGTCATAGTACAGGGAGAGGATGGAAAGGGATAGGAAAGAACACTGGTTAGCGCTGAGAACTGCTGTAGCTACAGAGGAGGTTGCTCTGAAGCTTCTTTGTACACGGTGTTCCCTAATGAAGCTTATCAGAGTTCCAGTGGTCTTATCGCTGAATTTATCACGCAAGTGTAAGGCATTCTTAGATTCTGTCGTGCCATGACTCTCTGTCTGATCCTGGAAGAGGAAAGCAGTCTGTGTTGTCCATTCCTTGGGTCTCTTCAGGAATCCTTGGTGGGGCCTTGTAATTTTATGTAACTGGGGCTTGCTGAAAGGGTAGTAGGCATTGGCCTGAAGTTCTGTTCACAAGAGTTTAAGGAGTGGTGGGAAGTACTGTGAAAACTGGGAGACTCAGACTTGAATTGAGATGTCGGAGGCTCGACTTGCCTTTGGTTCCCAGTTCTGTTGCCGATGTGCAAGGGTTACCTTAGGCAAATCCCTGGGTTGCTCTGCTAGCTGGCCCTGTCCCTTTTCTTGGCTGCCCTTTGCTGTGTCCATACAGCACAGCGGGCCTCCGGCCTGTGTTGGGAGCTCTATCTGCTAGGTGGTGTATTTGCATTACAGTGTTTAAAGCTCTGCTCTGAGCTCTGTTTCTAATTTTGTTGTTCCTTATGTGACCTTGAAGAAGCTGCTCAGGTTCTCTGGCTAAGTAACGCTTTGCTCCTTTGAAGCAAAAGAATACAACCTGTGAAGCGAGTTTGGAGTCTCAGACAAATCCCTGTGTTTCAAGGTGTCGAACACGAGCTTCCCTCTTGTCTATACTCCAGAAGTTCAAAACTGTCCCAGGTTTAGCAGCTGAAAAGAGCTGTGCATGGCTTTTGTATAGACAGGGAAGGTTTTTTAGTGTGTAGCATGCAATGTGTGTAAATGCTGGGTGGGAAGTTGGGGAGCAGAGGAGGCAATGAAGGAAAGGAGATCAGTAGCTGAGGTTTATTAAAAACAACTTCCTCCTTCCACTGTGTTTGGCAGAGGAAAATGATGTTTGTTGTTTGGCTGGTTTGGATGTGCTCTAATCAGGAATAACTCTAAATGCTGCTGTAGTTCCATATAAACCATTGGAGGCTGCCAAACTCCCCCTGCCACCTTCAGCTCTTAAAGTCTTGTGGCCTTGGCAATCTGATCCTGTTACAGGCTTCTCCCATACAGAACAGTGATTCTGCTCCTGACCTGCCCCAGAGTAAGGAAACTCTCACTTCTGAAAGCGTTGGAGCACCTCTCGGTGTTCTGTGCAGCAGATGCAGGTGTGCCTCTCACTCACGATGCTGAATATGACTGTTTTGAGAGTGAGGTCCAGCCAGATGCAACCCAGGGAGAAATCCTCGAGCTGATTCAAAGGGTGTTTGCTTCTGTTCCCAATATGCAGCTTATCTTTCCAGGTAGTAGCTTTGAAATGAGGGTAGGTATTTATCCTTCTTGTCTCGTCTCCTCTCAAAGCCTGTGTATATCATGCCTCTGCAGCCGGAGGTGGCAGAGCTGCCAAACCCATTCTTTTCCCATGAAGCAGCTGGTGTTACTGCCAGGCTTTTCTCCTAACTAACACACTGCAGTCCTTAATTCCTGATGTCTGCAGCGAGTCGCTCCGTTTTAGAACATAGCATCATCGGTTGTGATGGCAAACACCCCCACACCTGTCATGACAGAGCATCCTTCCTTCCTGTGCTGTCAGATTGGATCCTGGAGGGCAGAAGTGGAGCACATTGCTAGTAGGTTGTCCTCATCCCTCTCATACTTATTCCTGCACGTACAAACGAGACAGTGCTTTGTGTGCTCTCCCCCCAGAGCCTGTTTATGCCTGACTGAGCCATCTCTGGTGTCTGACTGCTCTCAATGGGGAGAAAACAGCATGAGGCCTTTTGCTCCAGAACTGCTGTGTAACTGACATTCAGTCAAGCAAAATGCCACGATGAGGTGACCATCCCTTAAAGGCTTTACATGTGTAGTAGAAGAAGGAGCAGCAGCTGGTCAGCTTGCTCTTCAGACTCTGGCTTTACACGTAGTAGAACAAGGAGCAGCAGCTGGTCAGCTTGCTCTTCAGACCCTGGCCCAGAGCTCCATTTTGCAACCCTGGTAGGTTCTGTGAACGTGGAAGAAAACAGAGAGATCTCAGACTGGTGAGCAGTTGCAAGGTTGACAGGTGCTAATAAGCTTCTTTTGGTTATCTGTGCTCGTTTATGCAGGTGTAAAACATTTGATCTGGGTTCTGTTACCTTCTAATAATGAAATTTTTTAGGTGTGTTTGTAGCTGTGCAGCTCCAGAACTTGAATTTGCAGCCAGGGCTGTTCTCTGACAACACGACTGGCACTGAGATCAGTTTGTGTTTAGAAGAGAGACAGGTCATGCTTGTGACACCCTTCATTGCAGTGCGCTGCAGATGCACATTTGGGGGGGTGGGGGAGAGTCAGGCTACACAGAATGTGTTCTTCTCCTCCCCTGCCCCCCCAGCTCTCCTTTCCTGGCATAACTGCATCTATTCTGCTGTCTGGTGAGGCTTGTGTGCCCATCCATCTGAACATTTGCTCATCAGCTGCGAGTTGCCATGTGGCAGCTCCAACAGGAACTCTTTCACTGGGTCAGAGCTCCTGCAGGCTAGCGTGATTTTAGCTATCTTAATTTGTCATGGGAATTCAGGATTGCTTCCATGAAAATATCACCTGGCAATGTCTTCTGTGGTGTCCACAATGGTAGTTCATGAGGTGTGCCACTGGGCAGGCCTGCTGTTGGCCTGCTTGAGTTGGGGGTGTACCTGTTTCCTCCTCTCTAAAAAGAAGGAATTCCTTAGCAGACTCTGGTCCTGCAGCAGGTGTCTGGTAACCGTGGCTGGAATGACTCTGCCATTGTGCCCCGTACTCGTTCACTACGTTCTGGCTGTTGCTGGATGTGACTTGTGTGATTTTTGGCAGCTCTGTCAAAGGATGCATGTCCTCAGGTCCTCCTTAGAGTCATATCTTGCTCTGTCACTGGAGAGCTTCGAAGCATTTCCAGATCAGTTTTTGAAGTGACAGGTACTGGGAAGGTAAATCCAGTACCTACATGAATCAGGTTCCAACCTGATGTGGTGGGCCTGTCTCTTCGGTCCGTCAGAGTTGTATCATTTTCCTGAGTCTCTTGGGCAAAGTTTCCATGTGTTTCTCAGGAAGGTTTCTCTCCTTTGCCACCCTGACCTGAACTACTTTGTTCTGCAGAAATGGGGATAATCTGACATTGAAGTATGGAAGCTGTCCGTGATGACAGAGCCCGATAGATAAAATGGTGGTTGTCCCAAAAGCTGCCTGCAGTAGCTGGTGCTCGTATGGTTCATGTCCTGCTCTTGGAGAATCAGTCCTGATCCTTTGATGTGCCATGCCGGGCTGAGGAGCGGGACAGTAACTTACACCTCACCAGTTCTTTTCTTGTGGAAAAATTACTTGGGAGAGGAGGAAGGTTTTCTTGCAGGGTTGCTTCCCTGCAGGATTCGTGTGAGTAGTGTTTCCTTTACCACCTGAACCAGGTGCTTCTAGGAGATGATCCTCCTTCTCTCCGTTCCCCCTGATATGTGCAGTGGCTGATGTGGCGAGTGGCTTTTTTTACGGTGCAGCAGGTGACCGCAGGGTAGCGTCCGGGCCACCTTGCTGCCTCTGCCTTAAGTTGGTCAAGAGGTGGAAGCTGCTCCTGGCCTCTTGTGAGCCTTCACTAGCCAGCCTGTTCTCCCTGCACTGCAGTCATCGTTCTCCTGTTGTCTCCTGGCATTCCTCAAGCTCAAGTCCTCTTCCTTTCCCCTGCCTCCCTCTGTTCAGTCCCTGTTGTGTATCTCTAGTTCCTTTCATCTCTGCATATCCCCTCCAGTCTGTTTCCAGTGCATTTGTTCAAAGTACAGCCTGTTTGGGTGTTCCCATGGACACACAAGGATATTTGGTTATCCTTCTGTATGCCGCACTGGAATGCGGATGGAAATCCTGTTGAGTGAGCTGCTGGGAAAGCTCGCTCTGGGCCCGGCATACTCCAGTAGCCATGCACTGGGCACAGAAGGCAAACAACCTGTAATGACTGGCTGGCTTAATCATTAAGCAGCACCTCGGGCTGCTCCGTGGTGGCCTGCTGCTGCTGGAACCTGGTGGTAGATGGAAAAATGCAGCTGCCCTGTTCCCAGATAAAATATCCGCCAGCTCAAGGCCCAGGCAAGGGAGTGGTCCCTCTGGGTGACGTGTTGGAGGTGAGACTGAGAAGTGCTGGGTGTGGAAAACTCACTGGAACGGCAGGGCTGCTTCCTGTAGTTCAGGCCGCATTTTCCAGATAATTTTTTTTTTCTTTTTAAACTAGACTTATTTTTTTCTAAAAGGGCAGAAAACCTCATCGCAAAGAGCCTTTTAGAAGCATGAAGCAGAGCAGGACCTCTTGGTCTGCAGCTGGGTGGAATGAAATAGCATCAGAAAATTATTCTGCTTTCTTCCCTTTCTCGTTCCTACTTATCTTAATAAAGAGTTGACTTTGTAGCTGCTGTTAAAGAGTTAGGATTTCTCCGATGATGATGATGATGGTGTTAGTAGCTTCCCAGTTGATATGCCTATCTAATGTGGGGAATGCTGTTTACTTTTGCATCTGGGCATGCCAGACAGAGGAGAGGCTGTTCCAGAAAAGCAGGTCTGTAGACGGAGTACCTGTTCAGCTCTCCTGTCTCCTCTGGGATGGGCAGGTGTCTGCTCTCCTTGCTGCTGACCTTTCAAAAGATATATGGGTCCCTCTGCAAACATAGAATCATGGAATGGTTTGGGTTGGAAGGGACCTCAGAGATCATCCAGTTCCAACCCCCCTGCCATGGGCAGGGACACCTTCCACTACACCAGGTTGCCCAAAGCCCCATCCAACCTGGCCTTGAACACTTCCAGGGATGGGGCAGCCACAGCTTCTCTGGGCAACCTGTGCCAGTGCCTCACCACCCTTGTTGTAAAGAATCTCTTCCTTATATCCAATCTAAATCTCCCCTCTGTCAGTTTAAAGCCATTGCCCCTTGTCCTATCACTACACGCCCTTGTCTAAAGTCCCTCTCCAGCTTTCCTGTAGCCCCCTTTAAGTACTGGAAGGCTGCGATAAGATCACCCCGGAGCCTTCTCTTCTCCAGGCTGAACAGCCCCAACTCTCTCAGCCTGTCTCCATAGCAGAGGTGCTCCAGCTCTCAGATCATCTTGGTGGCCTCCTCTGGACCCGCTCCAGCAGCTCCATGTCCTTGTGTTGGGGACTCCAGAGCTGAACACAGTGTTCCAGGTGGGGTCCCACGAGAGTAGAGTAGAGGGGCAGAATCCTCTCCCTCGACCTGCTGCCCACGCTGCTTTTGATGCAACTTCTTCTCGTCTTGGGTGTGTTCTGTGTTAAGTTTCTCAGCGTGTGGAGACCTTTTAGGACATGTGAGTTTTGGGTGAATTAAACAACACAGTAGATGCGTAGATAGGGAGCTGAGCTGGGTGGGTGGGTATGCATGGTGCTCTGCAGGCCACCACGGGATTTCATGGACATTTCCCGTCTCTGCTTTCCGGTTTAGCACTCCAGGGTGGATCCTGAGGAGCTGTTCACCAAGCTGGAGCGGATCGGCAAAGGATCGTTTGGTGAAGTGTATAAAGGGATCGACAACCGCACCAAGGAGGTGGTTGCTATCAAGATCATTGATCTGGAGGAGGCTGAGGATGAAATCGAGGACATTCAGCAGGAGATTACGGTGCTCAGCCAGTGTGATAGTCCTTACATCACCCGGTACTATGGATCCTACTTGAAGGTAGGACAAAGCCATGCCAATTCTCTTGGCAACAGTTTGGGAATGGAGTGGGCTTCTCTGTGGGTGCTGCAGCTGATGGTGGCGTACAGCACTGCGAGGTGCCCAGTCTTTGAGAGTCAGTGTGGCAGCAGGAACAGCAGTGGCTCCACTCACCCCATTTATGTGGTCTTAGTAGGAAGCTGGGCTTTAAGACACTTGGGAAGCACATGAAAATCTCCTGCCCAGTACAGTGTGGTCCCAAGGGCAGGGCACTTCACTGGAGGGACAATTTTTTGTTGAAGTGGCAGATCCCTCCCTGGTTTGACCATTCTTGAAAGGAAGTCTGTGGAATACTTTTTCAAAATACCACAGTTTTACGGTAGCACCATGGGGGCCTTTATGCCTCTGGAAAGACGAGGAGCTTGAAACTGTGCTTTGTGGTCATCATTGCTGATGAAATGATGAAAAGAACAGGAACTAAGTCTTTGGAGGAGTGCTGATACCACTTCCATTGACAACAGGTTCAGGAATCCCCAGTGGAAGCTACTGGTAGTGATGACCAGAAGCAGCCCCTGCACGTTGGCTGCTGGAGGTGTATGTAACCCTGGGCCTGTAGCAAACAGTTCTTGAGCTCTTTGGATCCAGGTTATTCCTTACGTGTTTTTCAAAGGCCATAATGCATTTTCTCAGCCTTCTCCTGAAAACACCAGGCAAGCTGTGGTTTCGTGGATCTGCTGCTTATCTCCTGCCAGGACTCTGAGAACCTCAGTCTGGTTATCCCGTCTCTGAGGAGTAAGGTCTTGCTGGTTGTACCCTTCAAGCTGGCAGTCCTGTTAATGAGATCAAAGGCTGCAAAGCTCTCCTGTCATTGTCAAGAAGATGTGCTAGATCTGCTGGAGCGAAGTTAAATGGTTCCAACCTGAGAATATTATTGTCTCTGGGCTGTGTAGTCTGGGGCCTGTAGTGGCACTAAGCTTGCTCAGATAGAATCATAGAATCATAGAATGGTTAGGGCTGGAAGGGACCTTCAAAGGTCATCTAGTCCAACCCCCCTGCAAGGAACAGGGATATCTCCAACTAGATCAGGTTGCTCAGGGCCTCATCCAACCGGGCCTTGAACGTCTCCAGGGATGGAGCATCCACCACCTCTCTGGGCAACCTGTTCCAGTGTTCTACAACTCTCATGGTAAAAAATTTTTTCCTAATATCCAACCTGAATCTACCTCCCTCTATTTTAAAACCATTACCCCTTGTCCTGTCACAACTGGCCCTCTTGAACAGCCTCTCCCCATCTTTCTTGTAGGCCCCCTTGAGGTACTGGAAGATAAAACTGCAGACTGAGAGAAAGAGATGTGTTGGGGGCAGGTCCACCACTATAATGCTCTGTCAGCAGGACAGAGGAAGCTGGGAGCTCCCTCCATACGCCTCTGAGAGCTGCGGTGTGCAGCATCTCTTGGATTGTGTACAGGACTACTCGTGTCTTGCTGCCTCTGGAGTGTTTCACTTTTCTGCCTGCTTTTGTTACTGGCTTTGCTCTTGATTTGTGCTCTTGCTTGCAGGGCACTAAGCTATGGATAATCATGGAGTACCTAGGAGGAGGTTCAGCGCTGGATTTGGTGAGTAGGCAGTAAGCTGTGGACCATGAAAAATGTTGTCTGGAGCCATGGTTTGTGAAATGCCCGTGAGCCAGACACTCACTTGGCACAGACCATCTTTTCGACAGCCCTGTGCCTGGAGGGTGGGCAGTGCAGGACAGACGTGCTGGTTATGCGTGTCCTAGGACAGAGGAAATGTTTGCACGGAGCTCGGCTGTCAAAGCGCAGTTCTCCAGTGTGTTCTGCTGCTTTACAATGGGAAGAGCCAGTGGACTGAAATGTGACAGCAGCCAGTTGTTTTTGAGCAGCATGAATCCGTGCCTCACCTAATAAGAGTCTGTGGAATTGTTCAGTGCTTGCATGGCATCGAGCTCAGCAGGGACCTGGTCTACGAGCAGGGTTCCCAGGTGTATGATGACACAAATGACATGTAACAAGGTACCCCAGGTTTTAAGGGAATACAAATGCAGAATAAACACGTGGGCAAAGTTCTGCTGTGCTGTATTCTGTCACAGGGCTTTGCTTTTCTCCTTAGGACAATAAGGCCTGTTTTTCCAGAGCAGTAACTAAGGTGATGTCGTGACTTGGAGGAAGGGTGTAATGGAGGGGCTGCCATCAGCAGAAGTCATCTCTGTGTCAGAACCTTAATTATTGCACTGAAAAGGCAGGACTTCAGAGGAGAACTGATGGAAAGGAGAAGAGCTTTGATGTAATACTCCACAGCCAGAGGGCAGAAGCTGTCCTTGTGCTGTTGCAGTGGCTGAAATTCAAGTTCTTGTCTGCTAGCAGAGAGACTTGAACAAGAGAAACTGTTAAGATGTTCTGTTCACCAGTGTATATCCAGGCCAAAGCAAGAGATGAGCGTCCTGCCGTTTGTCTGGGAAGCCGTTAATAGACTGACAGAAAGTTCCCCCAGGATTTTCCATTTAACCTTGCCAGGTGCGAAGCCCAGTGTTCTGCTTGCAGAATGCGCAGCAGGCGTGCAGGAGGTGCCTCCTTCTGAATATGACCTGCTTGGCCAAGGTTTCCAAGTAACAAAGTGAGAGGCTGGAAAATCCGAGGCATCAGTCACTCTCCTTTAAGTCTTCTTTCTGCCCTTTATCAGCTGAAGCCGGGACCCCTGGAGGAGACTTACATAGCTACTATCCTGAGAGAAATCCTAAAGGGTTTGGATTACCTACACTCTGAGAGGAAGATCCACAGGGACATCAAAGGTAAGAGTGGGTAGCTCCGCTCTCTTTCTTGTGAGGGATGTTACTAGCAGAAGATCCAGAAGCATTATACAGCAATAATCTGAGAGGTTTCAAAGACCGTTTCTTAGTGCTGCTTTTCCTGTTGGGTTGCTTGTTTCTGACTCTGATGCTTGTCAGTTTATTGCAACTCTTGTTTTTCAGGTCTTTAGGGTTTAGAGTAACAGGATCTGTAGCTCTTCTCTGGCATGTGTAGAGAAGCCTCTGGACAGGCAGAGGCTAAAGCAAAGGAGTCAGTAAAAGGCACGTTCAGATTGTAGCTGACTCTCAGTTATGTCTGGACATTTGCTTTACTGCTGGACCCCGAGGGGTGTGTGCGCTGGTCGTCATGCTTAGAACTTGCTGTGAAGGTGAGCTGTCCTCACGGCAGGGTTCACAGCACTGGAAGGTCAGGGCAGCTTGTGTCAGCTTGTCCTGTTACTGATTTTTATAGTCGTTGTCTGTCTGTAACGTAGAGAGCGCTGACATCTGCCTCCTGACAAGCGGTCTTACACCAAGCACGGAGCATCAAAGGACAGGAGGAGGGCGGGAGGACAATGCTGCGGAGACATGGCCAGTGTTGGATGCCAACTGCTCTGACCTTCTGCAGGGGGGGTGTGGACAAGCAGAGCAGAGAAGCCTCATGCAGGGAGATACGTAGAAAAGATTCCATTGTGTATGTGAGGCTAGATGTTTCTAGCGCTGCAAGCTGTGCAAGACTGTTGACTGCCAGCAGAGTAGGGAAACGCTGGAGGTTTGTAGGTAGGATCTCTGAGAATGAAAAGTCCTACCAAACCCCCCTCGTCTCAAATCCTGAGCAGTGCCACTGTCTCAAGCCAAGTGAGCAGGAACCAGTACAAGACCAGGACTTAGCAGATCCTTCTGAAGAGCTCCCATTTAACCTGTGCCAAATGCTACTCTGAAAAAAAGGTAGAATGTTTGAGGTATCTGGGACCATGTGGCCCTTCACATCTACTTCTTGCCACTATCCTGAAAATAGTCCCCTTCTGATCCAGCCAGGTGTATTGAACTTGTGCCATGTTACTCAGCAGAAATGGGAGCATGAGTCTGAGGCTGGAAATGCAAGCTGAGTGTTTTTGCTGGCGTAGAGGAGGGTGCCACAGGAGGTCCATTCTCAGTATTCAGTTCTGTGTGGGCTGGAGATGGTTCAGAAACCAGTGGACTTAATGCTTATTTGTGCGAACAGCTGCCAACGTGCTGCTTTCGGAACAAGGAGACGTGAAACTGGCCGACTTTGGGGTGGCTGGACAGTTGACAGACACACAAATCAAGAGAAACACCTTTGTCGGGACTCCATTCTGGATGGCACCAGAGGTCATCAAACAGTCTGCTTACGACTTCAAGGTGAGCTGGGTGCATGTCGTGGTTTAGCCCGGCCGGCAACTGAGCTCCACACAGCTGCTCGCTCACCCTCCCCCACCCCAGGGGATGGGGAAGAGACCTGTGGGTTGAGAGAAGAACGATTTAATAATATAATAATAATTATATATGCATACATATGTATGTATAATGATAAAAATATATATGAACAAGTGATGCACAGTATAACTGCTCACCACCCAGTGACTGGTGCCTGTCCCGTCCTGGTTAATAGCATCATAGAATCACAGAATGGTTAGGGTTGGAAGGGACCTCAAAGATCATCTTGTTCCAACCCCCCTGCCATGGGCAGGGACACCCTCCACTACACCAGGTTGCCCAAAGCCTCATCCAACCTGGCCTGGAAATGATGATCGAAACAGGTAAGTCTTGACACCGCAATTGCGGATGAGTGAGGGGCCCAAAAAGACAGCGAGGCAGCACTCTGAGAGTCCCCAGAAGAGGAGAAGACCTTCTTTCCAGTTAACCCTGATCTTTATACTGGGCATGATGCTGTATGATATGGAATACTCCATTGGCCAATTCAGCCCTCAATCCTAAGTCTAAGTTCAAATCCTAAGGGGAGTTGTGGCCCCTCTGTCCCGGCCATCCTGTTGTGCTCCTGCACGCTGGCAAGAACACGGCAGCTGGAAAGTCCTTGATGTCTCAGCCCCAACTACAAACATCAGTGCACCGTCAACACTCTTCTCCTAACGAATCCCAGACTAAAACCAAACCACAGAGCTCTTCTGGCTGCTAAAAAGGAAAACTTAACTGTGTCCCAGCCAAAACCAGGGCAGTGCAGGAGGCGGGTTGCTACTTGGTGCTGCTATGTGTGAGATGGTGGTAGGGTAAAGACAGGAATTGGAAGTGCTGCTTGTTGCAAGAATGATACTTTCCTGTTTAGGGTTCGGGGTCTGTTGGGAGAGTTTGTCTGTTAGACATGAAACAACTTATCTGGTTTTATGTGACCAGCCCTTTGGCTGTGCTAAAGTCGGGTGCTGCTGTGTTGCAGAAGTGCTGTTTGCTGTTCTGTGCTCTCACTGTTCTTGCTCTTCTTTCAGGCAGACATCTGGTCCCTTGGAATTACCGCCATTGAACTAGCAAAGGGAGAGCCTCCAAATTCTGACTTGCATCCTATGAGGGTTCTCTTCCTGATTCCCAAAAATAACCCTCCAACGCTTGAGGGTCACCACAGCAAGCCCTTCAAGGAGTTTGTGGAAGCCTGCCTCAATAAGGATCCTAGATTTGTGAGTATTGCTGTCCGCCTGTGAATTTGGGCAGAGTATTCCAGAGGTCAAAGATGTATTTAGTAGGAAGACCTTTTGGTGCAAGGCTCCTGGTGAGAAAGAAGCCCTGAGCTTGCAGAATGGATGGGCAAGCCCAGAAGTCAGTGCACTCTCGTGTTTTGTGTCCAGAGATGGTTAGATGTAGCATGCTTTCCTTATTTGCTCCAGAGGCCGACAGCTAAAGAGTTGCTAAAGCACAAGTTCATCACACGCTACACCAAGAAGACCTCATTCCTAATGGAGCTGATAGATCGATTCAAGCGCTGGAAGTCGGAGGGCCATGGAGAAGATTCCAGTTCTGGCGATTCCGATATGTACGTACATGTCCTGCCTGGAGGGGTGCCCCTGCTGTACCCTGCATGCCTCAGGGTGGCCTACTGCAAACGGCTCGCGTCCTTTTCCCCTCCTGGGCTGGAGATGTTGTGGTAGCTCAGGGTGACCTGTGAGCATCTGCTGCCTGAAGAAACGGGCTGTTACCTCCTGTTCAGTGGGACCTGGTACTCTGTTCCGCTCCTTAACCTGTGGAGCCTCCTTGAGCGTGAGGAATTAGAGGTGCTAACAAGAAATACCTAGTCTGTGTAACTAGGAAAACAAGGCTCCTGTTGCTTTACTGACTGTGACAGCAGCTGTGTGTGTTTGTGGAGTCATGCATGGAGAGCTTTGCTGCTGGTGTGGAGGACGATGAGGCGATGAGCCTTTGGTGAGGAAAGGACACTTTGTGCCAGGCTGGTGTTGCAGAGAAGCTCTGCACCTGTAGTGGCAGCGACTCAACTGACCGATGACTGGGAGGTTGGCTTGCAGCATCTAAGGCTGGCCCCTCAAATCGTGAGCTTGGATCGTCTCTAAATTCTCCTAGGAAATTCTCCTAAATATAACTAGCACTTGAAACTGTCTCCAAGCTGGCTAGAGCAGAAAGGTGGTTGTAGTGATTTGGAAACACGATGTAGTACTTAGCTCAGATCGCTGTGGTGCTCTATATGGGCTCTAGAGACTGAAGTGGTTTCTCTTCAGGATTTTTTGCTGGGTAGGGAAGTGCCTGGAGCTCTGTGGTGATAAGACAATCAGAGCTTGTGACGCTGGGAATGCATGGGTGGAACACCCAGTGTGTGGAGCTGAGGCATTATCTCAATCTCTCCTTTTTCATTTGCAGTGATGGAGACACAGAGGATGGAGACCAGGGTCCAATCTGGACATTCCCACCAACTATTCGCCCCAACTCCTTGAGCAAGCTGCACAAAGGAATGGCTCTTCATAGTTCCCAGAAGGTCTGGTTGCTGTCTGTTCTCTCAGAAGTGGGCTTCTGAGGGTCTTGGGGAAGCTATCAGTCACTCGTGTTCTGTCTGAAGTTGACATTAGTCTGGTATCAAGGGCTAGTGCCCCAGAGTTGCCTCTTTCACATTGCCAGGGCACTGCAATCTGTGGCTTCCCTGAGGCCCGGCGATGGGACTGCCATTGAGGTGCTGTGAATTTACCAAAGGCTTAGTAGTCTGTGTGCCCTGGGAGCCTTTGCCTGTGCTCATAACTTCTCTTCGTGTTGTTTCTAGCCTACGGAGCCCATCAAGAGGCAACCACGGTCGCAGTGTCTCTCCACGCTTGTTCACCCAGTTTTCGGGGAGGTGAGTAGAACCTTCTTGGTGTCTGTGGTGGTTGGAGATGGACAGATACTTGACACGGCTAAGTAAATGGGAAGGATTTGGAGAAGGGAGGTGGAGTGAGGTATCTGTTAGGGTTAAGGGACTGTGAAGCATTTCCTACTGTGTTTTAGGAAGGTGAGTATGTCCCTGGCGTGTCCTCTCCGATATACTGGTATTCCCGGAAGCATAGCATTACTGTGGTGTCTTCTGGTGAGGACAAGGCAGAGGAGTGCCAGCTTCTTACCTGTGCCTTAGACTTACCAATGCCTAGAGGCGACTGCGGACTCTCATGTCCCTGGTCTCCATGCCTGGAGTGCAGCTCCTGTTAGGGCAGGCCGGGGTTAGAGCTTGCTGTGGCCAGGCAAGTTCCCTGCCCTCGTGCTCGATTCTCTGCCCGTAGCAGAGTCACTGAGGGGAACGTGGCAGGGTTAGGGCAGCAGTTGGCTTCGCCAGTTCCTGAGCCATCTTCTTGATTTACACATGGCCGCTATCACTGGCTCGCCAAAGCTAAGGAGCTACCTACCATAAAGCCTGTGGAAGGTAGGCAGGGAAAATCGGGTTGGGAAAATCCGCTCTGTTTCCCGGCCTTGTGTTCCAGGTGGGGACGTGGAGTTGAATTAAAGCTACTGTTAGTTATGGGATAGTGTCTGTATGAGCAGGGAGCTGAATTGTCTTTCCAGCTGAGCGGTGTGTTAAGGGTGGAAAAGAGGATGATAGTCACAAGGGGACTTCTGGCTAAGGGCTCCAGTTGCTGTTCCCAGCAGGAGTGTAGGAAAGGAGGTTCTGCTTCGGAAGGCATAGCTTACACTGTGCCTTGGGGTTCTGGGGGTGCTGGGTTACAGAGACCCTTTCTCTGGGCCTGATGACTTGCTCTTTTCTGGATCCTGAGGGTGTTGCAGGGGTGGCCCAGCAGAAAGCTGGGCTTTTTCAGGGACAGTCTCTGGGCTTAAGCTCTTTTCTCAAGTGTAGGGCTGTGTAGAAAGAGGGTTTGCTGCAGGGTGGGAAGCAGAGGCCGTGCTGAAAAGCAGGCATGTGGTACTCTTGAGAGCACTGCTTTGGAAATTGAGAGTTTGGAAGTTGACTTCCACAGTTCAGAGCATGAGGCGGATGATCTGGATCTTGTAGGCCCAGACTTGTGAGATAAAATCGGATAAAAATAATGCCAGTTTCTGATGCAGGCAGTTTGTTCGTGCAGCGTAATCACTGATGTCTGTTTCTCAATGAGTGCATCTTTGTGCTTCTCCTTACCAGTGTTGCTGCACCAGTTCCAGGCAGGAAGCGGCTTCCTGGGGCATTCCATTTCTCCTAGTTTGACTCCCTTGCCCCAGACTTGCTGATCCTCCCTTCCCTTGATTAGACTTTCCTGCCAGCTCAGCTGATCCCACTCGGGGAACTCAGGTGCAGAGAAGGTTCTGGGACCTCTCTGAAATAACCTGGCTTCTGCGTGCAGCAGCAGGGGGTTGGAAGCAAACTTTTCTCCAAGTCTGCAAGTAGGAAATGTGCTTCGCTGCTGGTTGCGTATGTTGTTCTTTTCAGTTCTGGTTTCTTACCAACAGGAGACCCTCTCCTTCTCACCGTTGTAGCAGCACCTCTTTAGACCTGCTAGGTCTTCATCACCTCTTTCTCTGAAAGGGCTGATGCTGAGCTTTGGGAATTAAAAGGTTATGAACAGCATATCAGTAAGATTTCATGTGCCTTCCCTCCATGTGTATTATCGGATGTTAACATTGAAAATGACCCATGGTGAGTCACTGACACAGATATGGGCAACTGCAAATCTGGAAACCGGTCTGCCCTTTCTGGGGCAGGGAGGAAAGCTGAGGGGTTTGGGCCTGGAGGGCCAAGCAGGGAATAAAAGCCAACCTGTAAGGCGTTGCGCAGTACAGCCCTCGAGTCCCCTGCTAACCTCCGGAAGCTCTTCTGCAGCGGGTAATGCAGACTGCTCACATCACAGGCTGCTCACATCACAGCTGGGCAAGCTAAAGGTCAGTGACTTGGCATCAAAGGCAGATGATAAACTGGCAACTGACCTGCAGGACAGACCCTGTGTCTCGTCTCCTTCTGAGGCAGGCAGTCTTTGGTCAGGTAGCCGTCAAATCAAATCCTTGGCTTTAGCATCACAACTATTTTTGGCCCAAGAAACCCGTGTCCTTGATTTGTAATCAAGTTGCCCTCTGTGCCCCCTGCCACTTCGGGATGAGCAGAGGCATGTGCAAGCTGCTCCCGCTGCTGAGGCTTTGTGTTAGTGAGCAGCTACCCCACTGAAGAGGCAGTGGCCCTTTTTGGCCAGGAACCGTTTGTGTCCGGTGGGGAACCTGGAGCCCAGGGCAGGGTCCAGCTGGGAATTAACATTCACAGTGTCCTGCTTTCTGGACCGTGGGGAAAAGGTGAGCTCCAACAACAGGAAGGGCTGATCCCAGAATTGCAGGCAAAGAACTGTGAGGCTTATGTAAAGCCCTTTAATCAGCGTAGCCTAACGGGAGCTTAATTGAAGTGGACAGTGATTAGCTGGCAGACTCTGCTCGTTCAACAAAAGGGTTGGGGTTTTGTTCAGCTCATCGCTAACGATGTGCACTAGAGAAAGGGCAGCCGCATGAGCTGCTCTGAAGGAAACGCTGCAGAGACGGTGGTTTTTCCAAGGACAGACTCCTTCAGGCTCAGCATCAGGAGTTCCTTAATGGTGGAGATTTAGCTATTTCAAATTAACAGCTGGAACCACGTGCAAGTAGACTTGTGGCTGGTGAGGCCTCGTTGCAGGGCACTCACAATGACAAATGCGAACAGGAGTGCTCATCTAGGTCAGATGTTGCACATGGAGGTCTCGGTGTGGGGGCTTCCTTCCCCTCTCCCCCTGGGGAAAGCGCTCTCCTGGGGAGGAGTGTTGGAGGCCAAGTGGCTCAGGAGCTGCAGTGTCGCAGTTGTCTCCCTCAGCCTCCCACTCACTAGAAGCAACTCAAACTCTTTTGTGGTTATTAAACATGGTGGTGACTAACTCCTGGTGTCATGGTATTTCCTGCAAGCCTTTGTGTTCGTCTGGGTGCTAAGCTGTCGTTAGCAGCAGAGCTGACAGTACTGGTTCAGGTGCAGCTGGAGTTCTTTGTTCTGTTACTACTTACGGGTTTTCAGGGCTGTTGATCCATTTCTGGTATCATTTAGTTTGTTTAAGAGTACATCAGGGCCTGTTTGTTAAGGACTTAACAAACTGGTGAGGCACTGGCACAGGTTGCCCAGAGAAGCTGTGGCTGCCCCATCCCTGGAAGTGTTCAAGGCCAGGCTGGATGAGGCTTTGGGCAACCTGGTGTAGTGGAGGGTGTCCCTGCCCATGGCAGGGGGGTTGGAACTGGATGATCTTTGAGGTCCCTTCCAACCCAAACCATTCCATGATTCTATGACTTCAATTGCTGTTAGTACGTGGAGGAAAGTCTGAGCTCCAGACATTGGACTTCCATCTTCCTGACCTACAAAAAGAGCCCTTCTGTATTTTTTTAGGAAGAATGTGAGTGCCCTCCTGCACCCTTGTGGAGTCATACTAAAAGGGAAAGGGACTTAATGTCTGTACTGCACTGCTTGACCAGTGCTTTGTGCAAGGAACTAACGCACTCTTTCTGGGTCGCAGCTTAAAGATAAGCACAAGCAGACTGGAGGCAACGTGGGAGCTATGGAGGAGCTGGAGAATGCCTTTAGCTTGGCCGAGGAGTCCTGCCCTGGCATCTCTGACAAACTGATAGCACACATGGTGGAGCGGGTACAAAGGTGAGTGTCCTCTGGGGTGGAGCTGGCGGTGAACTGAACTACTGTTGTACTCCATCGCTGTGGTGAAGGTTGGTCCTGGGCAGTCAAGTGAATAGTGGTGACAGCTGACCTAATAGTCCCTAAGTCACTTCTCCTTTTTTCATTTAATGGAAGCAGTTCTTCCTGCCTCCGAGGTCTGTTCTTACACTGAACAGGTTTCTGTAGTGTAGGTGAATGTTGCAGAGCACAGGAAGATGCTGCAGTTCACCTCCATCCTGCATATATATATATATATATGACATCCTGCTGGTCCTGTTACCCAGGCAGCAAAGACTATGTAAAATGTCACTGGGATTGCGTCTGGAATAGCGAGGATCTGTTTCATTGCAAGGAATGTGCTTTACGTGCAGCCAGTTGCTCTGCTTGCCCAGCTTCAGGGAGGAGGAAACTCTGTTTTTCCTGAAGTCAGTTACTTATTAAACCAGTGCAGGAGCGTAGTCTGGTAGAAGGAAGTTCTTTGCTGCTCAGCAGGTGCCACGTGAACCTTTCTTCCGTTGTGGGCACAGTCACATCCATGCAGTGCAGGCAACACCAGGTGCTGATCACAGCTTCAGCAGGGTTTATTTAAGGTTAATTTGGCTTTTTTCCCTTTCACAGCAGGCTGTCCTAAATCTCACCCTTTCCTTACCAGCCAAGAAACTTCACATTTGGCCCTCCACTGGCTAGAAGGCTGGAAATGTCAAGCAAGGAAGAAGAGCCTTAGATATTAAGGACTGAAAATACTGGCTGTTCTTGAGGGCTTCTCTTACTAAGCCATTCAAGCTTTCAAGGAATGAGGATGAGGAATCTAAAGGTGGAAAGAGAACACTCTTGTGTCTTCTGGCTGCCCCACAGAGCTCCCGGAAAGCAGGCTGGTGATGCCTGCAAAAGCTCCAGCCTCTGGCTGAGCAGATGTGTGTTGGGTGACTGCAGAGCAGCTGTTTCAGTGTCGTTCCCTTCTCTCAGCCCAGAAATGGCACCACTGGATGGTGCAGGCGTGCCAGAGAATGGGTTTTCTGGAGGTTCCCAAAACTTCCCAGGCCCTGGTTGGTTTCTCACTGTAAGACACTCGTGTTCAAAATTTCTCAGCCTCATTTTTCTTTTTCTTAGCCTGAAATTGAAAAAATGCCGCCTTGGCTTTTTGTTAAATTGCTGGTTTCTTCTTTCAAGACTCCTTCATCTGGAAAACTGGTAGTGCCAACGGGAGTGAGGACAAATGCCTCCAGACTTACCTCTTGACCCGCTGGCTGGTGCGCTGTGTGCGGGCCGCCGTCCTGGTGAGGGCTTGACGTGGGCAGCAGTGACCAGTTCCACCCGTTGTTCTTTCTTGCAGGTTTTCACACAGTCGGAACCACCTGACTTCTGCCCGCTGACACCTGCGTTCCCTGCGGCTGTCTTGAGGGGGGAAGGATTTTTTTCCAGCTTCGTAAGAACTACATCTCTAATCCAGCCCATCTGCTGTTGGATGTAACGTTGTGTTACGGACTCCAGGACATTTCAGAGCCTTCATATTACACGTGTTTCCATGATAACCCAGGGTGGGGTTTGCGATGCAAGTACAATTTAGACCTTTTGCAGAACCCGAGATGGGTGGTCTAATTGTTTTTACGATGTAATCAATGCAGTTTTTAATTGTTTCCCTATGGATGTATCCATTTTGGCTTGGTTTGATTCACAGCTTGTTACTGGTAAATGCCTGGCTGCTGGAAAAGAGGGAGATTCTCTTCCATTGAGATATCTTTCTGATGGATTTAGCCTCCTGCCCTTCCTAAAGAAGTGTTTGTGAGCAGTGATGTGTGAGTGCAGGTATGTTTGGAAGCTCTCCACACGTTACAGCCTCTGGGAAAGTTAGAGCAGCTCTCCAGTTGTTCTGGAGGATTGCTTCAACTCCTTCACACACTCGGAATGAAAAGCTTTCAAGTAGACCAGCAGCGGAGCTAATACGCTGCTGCTCTTTCCCAGCTTGTTCCACAGGAGGATGGGTTTGCTGACTGTACTTTTTTTTTGGCTCTGGGACATCATTTTGTGTTAGTCCTTGGTTCATCTAATGCAGGCAACAGCAGAACTGCCTTGGCTCTGCAGGGACTGGAAGGCAAAGTGGTTATGTTTGGTTTGGGAGCTGGTGCAGTCCCTTTCCTTGCTGCTTTCTGCAGCTGGAGCAACTGGGTACGCAGGTTTGGCAGCTGTAGTCTCTAAGCTGAGTAGCCACCTACTGCACGTGCCCAAATGTTGCAGAAGGATGAAAAAGGGGGTGAGGAGAACACGACAGCCAAGAGCGCTGATGGGGCTTCGGTTCAGAAGGCAGATCGACGCTGCACAGCAGTTCTCGAGGCAAGAAACCTGTCCCCTACAGAAAGGGGCAAACTGCCTGGCTGGCAGCAGTGGTGTCTGTGTGGTCTGGCTGGGGTTTGCAAAAGCTGCTCTAGGCCTCCGTCCCCTTCTTCTCCACGTTCCATTTCTGGCTCTTCTGGCAATCTGGGATCTAAACTCGCTGGAGCCAGGGCTCAGCTCCAGTTGACAAGCTCTGGTGGTGTTTGCTGGCAGAGAAATTAAAGCATCTGCAGCCGTATTTCTAGTGGAACCATCCCCAACTAGGTTTGCTTCCCTAGTTTATCAAGCTACTAGTTTATCAAGCAAATCTTTAATTCAGGAAAATGCACGTAGGCTTAGGAACATAACTTCTGATTGCTGGTTGCTTAGAGATCTGCTCTCTAATTGTAAAGATATTCCCATTAAGTCAGCAGGACCTTAGATATCCAGATCTTTCTGTCTGGATGTTTGTGTGTGAATGATGTGGCTCACCCCGAAGCTGCTGAGAACAAAAGCTGTAGCTGTTCAGCATTTTTTGAAACAAGAGGTCACGTTGTCAGTGACAGGGCTTGATTTTTTTGGTACGTCGAGTCAGACCTGCCGGTTGTAGGTGCTGGGCTAAAAGTAGCTCAGAAGGACCTTGTGTTCCCTCATCCCGGCGTGCAGTGTTTGCTCCAGCTCATGACTATCCTTTACTCTTCCACTCTGCTGGATAAACACAGGCTCAGCAAACACCGTGAGCTCGTCCAGCGGAGGAGAGGTGCTGCTGTTTGCTCTTGCTGGAGAGCTGCTGCAGCGTGGTGTTTCTCTGAGGGGGAAGCAGTTCTCGGAGCCTGCATTTAGGAAGAACAGAACAAACCCATTTTTTCCTCAGGGGAAGGAGTTAAGGTGTAGACAGGAAAGGTGCTGAGGTGGAAGGCAGAAGCTGCAGTCCAGCAGAAAGGCAGCTGAAGGGCTCCTGCTGCTGCTCAAGTTGCTGTCCATGACGGTAGGAAACGTCTCCATAAGGTACCTGGTGTTATGACTCACGTGCACTGCAGTGTGACGAGTAAACTTTTTAAAGGAAACAATCCCCACAAACTTCGTCCAGTATTCAAAGCAACAACGGTTTTAGTTTTTAAAAGCGTTGAAAGGGATCTGCCACTTTCAATAAAGTAACAAAACAAACGAAGCTGGTGTAACTTTGCATTATTAGGGAAAAAGTTCTTTGTTCAAGCAAGTTTTCTTTGCGTTCTTCTTGGTCTTCGCCTGCATCTTCCTGCCTGCTGTACATCACTCTGAGGGTGGTGAGGCACTGGCACAGGTTGCCCAGAGAAGCTGTGGCTGCCCCATCCCTGGAAGTGTTCCAGGCCAGGTTGGATGAGGCTTTGGGCAACCTGGTGTAGTGGAGGGTGTCCCTGCCCATGGCAGGGGGGTTGGAACTGGATGATCTTTGAGGTCCCTTCCAACCCAAACCATTCTGTGATTGTATCTAGCAGTGACTGTGGGACAGACCTGTGTCAGCACGCTGGGGGAGGAGGGAATGCAGTGAACGGCGCGTTACATCAGCCCTTTCTGCTGATGCACGCTGGTGTTACAGGAAGCACACACTGTGCCCTGGAGAGTGCTTCGGTGAGGTTTTTGCTGGAGTCTGTTCATTGATCTGCAGTATTTAGACTCAGGTTCCACTGTAAAAACTGACAATGGGATAGCTCTGCCTTCCTCTCTCTCCCTTTGCAGCTGTGAGGGTGACTGAGCAGTGTCTCCATCCTTGGAGATAACCAAAAGCTGTCTGGACACGGACCTGGGCTGCTGGCTGCAGGTGGCCCTGCCTGAGCAGGGGCATTGCACCAGGTGCCCTCCCCAGGTCCTGCTACCCCCACCCACCCTGTGAGTGTGTGAGCTCAGTTACAGGATCAACACTTTGGAGATGCTGCTTCAAGCATGTTTCAAACCTTGTGGACGCCTGGCCTTGCCTGAGCAGAAACACAAAGGTGAGGCTTACAGCTGGGATCCAGCTCCGCCGCACCATCTCGGCTGTTTTCTCCTTGGAGCCAAAAAAGGAGAGACTGACAAACCCACTTCTGACTCGAAACCTTCATGCAGTGTACTTCCAGCAAGCTGTGCTCCACACAGCCGAGCGGCCCAAGTCCGGCTGGACGCCGATGTAGGTGAGTTATCTGGTGTGACGGAGTCGCTCCTGTAAGCGGGGGAGATAAAGGGAACACCAGAACAGCTCCAGGAGGTTGGGTAGGAACTACTGGAAAAACTTACTTGTTCTGGTTTGTTAAGCGATGAAGCAGGACTCTGTTAGGCTGAATGAAGGACAGCCAGCCAGTCCTGCGGGAAGCACGGAAAACTGGTAGTGTTTACCAGAAATGATGTTTTTTTGAAATGAACCAAGACAATGGATATTAAGCCATGTGGTCACAAGAGCACGGGTTCATCTCTCCCTTGGCATACATCCTGCTAGCAAGAAAGGAACCAGCAAGGACCAGCTGTATTTGGGTCTTTCCTAGTGCTCTTGTTAAGGAAACTGCTCATGAGTGTAGCAAAGATGAAAAATACTCCTGCAGAGTTCTGGTAAAGTAAAAATACTGCATGGCATTCACAGAGCTGGTATGCCACTGACATTGGCATCAGCTTGAAAGCTTGCCAAGGTGAGGGGTAAGCAGTTTTGGCGGGAATAGTGACGATTCTGGCTTTCAGAGCCTGTGCTCTTGCATTGTAAACGCAGAGACATTTGAGCTTGGCATTCTCCACCCAGGAGGGGCCCTTTGCTGCCTGCTGGCCTCGCTTTCTGGTCCGCTCGCACCGGAGGCTCCTGTTTAGGGACCACACCTCGACCACTGCAGGCAGCACATGTGTCTTCAGGACAGGAACCACTGAGCAACTCGAGGGTCATCCACTCCTCAACTGCCCAAAAACCGTAAGGAAGGACTCCTGCTCACCATCTCTCCTGTAACAGGCGTTGTAACAGCACTGTTCTGCTACACCGAGGTGACGGGAGGGTAAATAGAGTGTAGGTGTTCCAACAGCCCCTGGATTAGCCATGTAGGTACCTCCCAGTCGTGTACCAACACCTTTATTGGGGTGTGTGTCCTTCCGCTTCCAACAATGTTCGTTGATCATTTTTCTAAGCATCAGAAGCTGTCTCCTTGTGTTACAGGCTAAAGCAGTGTTCCCCGTGACGTCAGATGGAAAAACAAGGGTAGGGGGGAAGAGCCTGCGCGGGAGCGTGCAGAAGCCTGGCCTCGGCGCTGCGTGCCCAGGGCAAGGCTGGCTCCGGCAGCTCCGGCAGCTCCTGGTGCGTGTGGGTCTGGCCTTTCACGCGTGGTGCCAGAGGGACTGACAGCCGATCTGTGGAGGTAATTTAGACAAAGCCTAGCTGATGGCAAGCGAGTCACCTATCTCTGTCAGCTAGTTTAAAAAAACAAATTGAAAACCCCAGGACATTTCACCACACCGCACCCTCTCTTACACTGTGCTCACTGAAACACACATTTCTCCTGCTCTTCTCTCCCTGGCAACAGCCGGGCGCAGCTTTCCTAACTCCCATGGCAGAGCACGTGCACGGCCCTTCAACACAGCCAGCTTGCTTTTGGGGACCCCAGGGCTCCGTCCCAGGCCTGAGATGTAGCTGCGCAGTGCCCAGCCCGTGCCACGGAGGCTTTGCGTTTATCCATGTCGAGTTGCAGGTGATGTTTGCCAGTCCCTTCCTCCTGCCCTGCCCGGGAGCTGCTCCCAAGCCTGGTGGCACTCAGGGGCTCCATAAAGGTGGCTCTGCCACCTCCTTCTGCCTCGGTGCTGTGGATGGAGCAGAGTTGGACACTGGGCGAGCTGAGAAACACAGTCTTGGAAAACTGAGTTTGAATCCTGGCACTAGAAAGCTCTGCTACAGTAAGCGAGTGCAACTGAAGGTTGAGGTTGAGTGCCAAGACCCCCCAGCTGCTGACAGAGACCCTCCCCCTCCTC